TGGTAACCACTTCGTTCCGATTTACGTATTGCTATATAAATTAAACATATCTGCCATAAATATTTCGTGAGTATGCTATTATTGTTTTATGTTTATTGTAATAAAAATTAACAGTTGGTATCTAATAATTTATTCAGGTAACCAAATTCGAAAATTAAGTTTTGACATTAGTTAATAATTGTAAGTTAGATAAACTTTTGTTTTCAATACATTACAAGTGACAACCCTGAATATCTCAGCAAAAATGATTGATTGGTAAGTTTGAATAATATTTTAGGAATCTTAACTAGTGTATCTTGTTTCTGAATCAGATCACTAATGAAAGATGATTTCAATGTGCCGATCGCGTTCTATCGGCAGTTTATTTCACGTGACATAATTTTTATATTGGGCGATCTATTTTCTATGTGTTTATAATCAATAATTATATTTATATATTTTTAATTTTGTTGGATTCAGGTGTTGTCGCGCGCAGTCTGCGGGGTGAAGAATTTTGAAAGCAATAGCGCGGTTCATGGATTTGCACGTTACGACATCGTCACACAACGTGACCGTCGACTTTCCGGCGATGCAGTGGGCTATTAGAGATAAATAATAATATTCAGGTACATTGTAGACAATAAACCTTATCGCGCTCTATCGGAAATAATTTCTGCGCGGTATTTTTATACGGGCAGTGAGCGATCTATTGTTATAATCAATGGTACAACGTAGTCTGACCGTTAAATTCTAAGCACAAACGCCACAAACATTATCCCATGAAAATAATGCAGTGCATTGCCACACGGCAAACCACACACGATGAAATACGTCATGTGTATGTGTGTGTGTCTACGTCGTTGTTATCAATAAAACTAACACGCTGCAATCACTATTCGCCATTCAATATTCATTATTTTCAATTTTGCTTTCTCTCCTCTTCGCATTTGTTGAGTTGTAGACCTATTTCTCATTCGTGGCATTCTCGTTTCTTGTGATTTTTCGTTAGAATTAGTCGATTGAACATGAGTAACGCTACCGAAAAAAATCCGGCCAGTCTGGAGCAGCAGGTAAGATGATCGGTATTTACTAGTATACAATTAACAATTTAAAAAATTAAATCTATATTTCGGATTTAATAGTATTATGCTTGTGTGTAGAGAATGCAAATATATGCATACGACTTGACGCTAATTTTTAATAAGACTTTTTAATAGCTGTAACTGTGGTGAAATCTCGATGTTGTGTGTATCGGATCATTAAAAAAACAGTTACTAATTAATATCTAGTCATTTTGTCAGTTGAAAATATGTCATCTATGTTTTTATTAAATTAATATCATGACTAAGAAAACTTATATGATTAATGATTTATCTGTTTATTTTTTAAAATTTTTTTTAGTTAGCTGCTTCAGACTTGCAAAATGCAAATGCAAAAAAACAAGGTAATTTTTGGTCTTAAATGTTTTTAATATAATGTGTTTTGGACATGTTAATTCTCATAATTTATCAGGCTACAATACTGTAGAGTTGATTATTATTTATGTTTACATAAATATAAATATTTTAAGCAAATTATTCTAGTGTCTCAATGATAACCATCTACTGATGAATATTCTTTATATTATCATTACTATTTTATTAATCGACATAACTGTCATTCAGGTTATACAAGGTGTAGGCTTCAGTTTTTGTGAAGTATTACTATTTCAATCATTAGTAAACATAGTTATTGTAAAAGAAATAAAAATATTTCTAACTCTCATGTTTCTTGTTCTATAATTAAATTATAGTTAGTCTCCAAAAACCTAATTTGTTTTAATGTTGTATAATTAGAACTATATTAATGTCCATTTAAAAAGACAAATCTAATTTCTTAATAATGCCTTATTTATTTATAGCACTTCTAATTGGTATTTGACTAATTTCCATTCAAATTGACTTATGTTCATTATATGTAATCTTAAGAAATAAATACATTTTTAGAAAATTAGTTTTATAATCTTTATTAAATTGATTATATATTTTTTTTTCATCTAAATATTTGTATACTTGTATTTATTTTATCATAAAAATATTATGACTAATTTAAATAATAATATAACACCTATATTTAAATTCAAAATATTTTATAATTATTGTATTGTAGTCACTTGTACATTCAATTTTTACTTATTCTTATCTTAGCATTAAAACATTTATCTATAAAGACAATGTAGGTTATAATTAATAATACATTCATGTATATATAGGTTCTACATCTGTCCTTAAAAGTAAGAAAACAGATTCTAAAAAAAATGAAAAAGCACCAAAATCGCAAAAGTCTGTTGAAGATAATAGTAAACAACAAGGAAAGTTTGTAGAATTACCAGGAGCTGAAATGGGAAAAGTTGTTGTTAGATTTCCTCCGGAAGCAAGTGGGTTAGTGCTTGTGTGTTTTATACATTTTTCTAACATTTATAGCAACAAATTTTATTAAGAACAAAAAACAATAAAGTGAATTGTTTTTATGTATTTTAATTAATCAAATATTAAAAATAATTTGTTTTTTAGATATTTGCATATTGGACATGCAAAAGCTGCTCTATTAAATCAACACTATCAATTGGCTTTTAATGGTCGTCTAATAATGCGTTTTGATGATACAAATCCAGCAAAAGAGAAAGAAGATTTTGAGAAGGTAAAAAAATAATATGTTCATCTTTTTACTAATTTGTCAGTTTGTTTTTTGTCTATTTTATGAAAAGTAATAAAAATCATTTCATGCTAAATTATGAGATTAAGGTTTGGTGATATTTATTTCATATTGTTAAGGTTATATTAGAAGACGTTGAAATGTTAAAAATTAAACCTGACATTTTTACATATACATCTGATCATTTTGATAAAATGTTGGATATATGTGAGAATGGAATGTTAAAAGAAGGTTTAGCATTTGTAGATGATACCGATGGAGATACAATTCGTTTGGAACGTGAACAACGGATAAATTCAAAAAATCGAAATAACTGTAAGTATTATGATTTAAATACTATATTTAAAAATACAGAAAATTTATCGATCTTAAGTATTTAAATTTAGTATTTAACAGTTTTGAATTAACATTTATTTCTTGATTATTATAATTTATAGCAGCGGTTCTCAAACTGTGCTCCGTGGAGCCCTAGGGCTCCGCGAGAGTAGTCTAGGGGGCAGGGGCTCCGTGGCTCCCTGAGAATATTTGTATTAATTAAATTTAAATTATTAAATTATTATTATATTTCTTAGTTAAATTTTTATTTTTATAATCAATATTATTTAGACCGTACCAATATGAATTATTTTAAACGTTTAAAACTTTAAAATATTTATAAATCCACATATGTCATATTTTGTGTCATTGTCAAAATGAGATTAGATAAAAGTCGGGTTTTTCATTCATTTGACATGTTGTACGATAATTATTTAGTTTACTTATCTACAATAGTACAATCTACATTCTACGAAGTTCTAATAATTTCTTGATTCTTCAGTCATTACTCGTTATTCATCGGCCGCTGACGCAAATATTGTTATTTCGGTGTGTATTTCGTATTACGTGTTTCCTATTTTACCATCAATTGTTTTTATTGTTAACAATTTTTTTTGTGAATAAAAATTCAAATGGATCGTATATATTCGTATTTTACAGAAAATAAAAATAAAAAGCAAATCATTTACAATTGTTAATTGTAATTACATAATTTATTTATGAATTTTTGTTGTCTCATATAGACATTTCTGATCTTTGGGGCTCCGTAATTTTTTTTAGGAATATATGGGCTCCGTGAACAAAAAAATTTGAGAACCGCTGATTTATAGCATTAATTTAGTCATTTGGCTATTAATTTCATTATTTAGAGTTTAAACAGTTCAATGTAATGTTTAATTTTATCAGAAAGATTAAAGGTGACTAACTTCTGTTTTTATTATTACTTAAATCATTCTTTTAATTTTGTTAAATGGGAATTCATAAATAACATTATATATTGCGTGTTATGCCTGTGGACCTCGACTAGATTAAATACATTTTTAAATTTATATACTTACATTTCAGCAATTGAAAAGAACTTGGAGTTGTGGAAACAAATGGTCTTAGGTACAGAAATTGGTCAAAAGTGTTGTGTCCGAGCTAAAATTGATATGCAATCGGCAAATGGATGTTTACGTGATCCAACAATATATCGTTGTAAACCTGAACACCATCCTAGAACTAGTGATAAGTACAAGTAAGGACGTAACAAAAAAATTAATATTTTGTTGGCTCAATACGAACTATTCACTTCAAATAAGTTTAACTAAAATAATATTGATAATTAGTTAAGTGTTAGCAGCTTATAATTAAATTTTGAAAAATCATCTGTTGTGTATCATTCTTTGTCTGAGCTCACATAACATATTATTTGCAACATTTAATTTCATAGTGATAACTGTTAAATTATAGGTTTAATCTTTGTAAATCGCTCCATGTAATAATATTTTATAACTATTAGAAACTAAATATCTGTGTATACAGAAATACGATTTACATGAAATGGAAATTATTTATGTAGTATGGTGAAAAAACTGGTTTATATAATAAAATAACTATGTGACTTCTAAGAAATTTTTATCTATTTCCTATTTTATTTATAATGTTTGATTAATTTTATAAATTGACTTGTGATATAAATGATTCTGGGCTTCGACACAAGCTTATCTCGGTGAGGATTTCAAGAGAGTTATTTCCAGTGTAAGGTTTTAATAAAAATAAAATTAAGTTAATTTAATATGTAATTGTATTTAATTCAAATTAATGTCATTTTAAATTTATTTTAGAGTATATCCAACTTATGACTTTGCTTGTCCTATCGTGGATAGTTTAGAGGGTGTTACTCATTGTTTACGTACTACAGAGTATACTGATCGTGATGCACAATATTATTGGTTTTGCGATGCATTGAAACTCGGAACTCGCGATAATGAAACCCGACCTTATGTGTGGTCTTATTCAAGATTAAACATGACCAATACTGTTTTGTCAAAAAGAAAATTAACTTGGTTTGTTGAACAAGGTCATGTAGATGGATGGGATGATCCTCGCATGCCGACTGTTCGTGGTGTATTAAGGAGAGGTATGCAGGTGGAAGCATTGAAACAATTCATAGTGGCCCAAGGATCTTCTAGAACTGTTACAGCTATGCAGTGGGATAAAATTTGGTCATTGAATCGCAGTATCATTGATTCAATAGCACCAAGGCATACAACTTTATTGTTATCCAATTTAAATAAAGAAAATGCTATATTATCTTATCAGCCAGTTGAAGTTGTGG